GGATAACATCTTAGGAAGACTACACTGGAAAATAGGGTGTCTCCCCAATCGTCCAAGAGCACCAATTCACACGTCAGAGCATTGATCCCCAATCTTCAGCAAGACATTTGTGTATGAACTTCTCTTTGATATTTTTCCCATTAATCAGTATAGTTGAAAAAAAGGTCCCAATAAATACAAACATATGAAGAGAAGGAATTTTCTAACCTTACACAATTGTCATTTGGAGCCAGATAATATTTTGTTTGGAGGGTTATTACACGGTGCATTTTAGAATTCTAAGCACTGTCTCTAGCCTCTACCCACCCATTATCAATGGCACAATGTTTTCGCCATCATTATGACAACAACAACAACAATAATAATAACAAATAATAATAATAATAATAATAATAATAACAAATAATATCACTATATTTTGCTGTCCCCTGGTGGAGGCACAGTTATCTCCAGTTGAGAAATATTGTTTCATGAGTTATTTCAATAGTACTGACATCATGAAATGACTCCAATGCCAAACTTTTAGAATACTATGTAGAAACTTTACATGTAAATAATCAGATGGTATTTTAAGCACAATGGACCCCACACAGTTCCTAGCAATATTTTGTTTTGTCTTGTTGAAAACATTTTTAAGTGTAAAAACTATTTAGCCAAAATATAGATTATAATTTCTTCTGGTAATTTCCATAAGCTGGAATCTTTATCTAGCTACCAGAGGATTTATTACCTTAAGATAGTAAATGTGTTGCCCTTCTCAGAATGCTGGAATCAAATACCTCTAAGTTAAATTCTATTAATCTTGTTTGTAATTTAATTCTATCAAATGTACTTAAACACAAAGAGCTTAAATGAAATGGAAACTCAATATTTGAACCAAATGAGATTCCCTAGTAAATGATAAACCACATTCTTAGTGAGAATATGTCTGTTCTCTGGTATGGAATTAAATATCCTGTGGGGTTTCTTTGAGGATGTGGGCATAATATATAATAGAAAGGAAATTCCCCTAATCAATTTGAAAGCCAAAATATGTTTTGATATGGCTGCAGAGGTTATTAATGAAGAAAGCTTGCTGTTTTTTTTTTGAGAACTGCCTATAAAGTTATAAAAATTGAAACATCGTTTTGAAGTTACATTTCAAGGTAGCCTCTATGAATTTTTCTTTACCTATTGCATAAATGCTTTAGTAAGCAAGGAGGGGTCTATTCACCAATCAAGTATCTGCTAGGGACTGTGGGTGACCAAAGATAGAATGTGCCTGGACCCTGCCAGAGAACAAGCACTTTATCAGGAAAACAACCATGTTTATCTTTCATGTTTTAATACATTGATAATTAAAAATGTTTTATTTTGGGTATTTGGAATATATCTATCTATCTACCAGAGAAAAATAGCCAAGAAAATAACCTTATTATCCAATTAGAGCAATAGTAGAAGAGGGGATATAAATAAGACTTTGGTCAAATATATTTCATTGGGATAATTCTAAAATGTTCATTTAAAAAAATCATTGAAGTTGTTTATCATACTAAAGACAGTTTAATGGAAGGCAATCTCAGGAAAAGAACACTAGGATATAAGTTCAAATCTGTGTTCCAGTTTTATCCTTGTATTTTTTTCATGGATAAGTCAGTTAACTTTTAAAGAGTACCCTGTCTGTACCCTGTAATGTGGTAGAGTCCCTATCTCAATATCCCTACACATAGGATATGCTTACAACTTGTAAGCAGGGAAAGGATGGCAAGAACATCTTGAGGACTCAGCTATACTAATTCTTCTTTCTACATGGATGATTTCAGGATAAATCCCATATTTTTGGCTATAACCTGGATTAGTTTACAATAGGGTGTTCTAAAATTTCTTCTTATATAATCATGAAAATATTTATCCATAAAGTCCGTGAAGTCTTACTTTTAAACCAGCTGATAAGAACATTGTTGTTTTTCTGTTAAAAGGATAAGGAGCCAAATGTAATTGTGTAGTAAAATAAAGACTTTTTAAAATCAATGTTTATTTGAGGGCGTTCAAAAATGAACTGCTAAGGCATCCTTAACATCGCTGGACTCTATCCACTTCTGCCTAAACTCATAACCTTGAGTTATAAGGCTTGTCTTGCAGCCTTCAGAGGAAACTATTGCTGGGGAAAGGCACCTCCTACACAATATGGAGTCAAATTCTTTACTAAAGTGTCAGAGAAACATAATCATATCATTTACACGAGTTTGAGAAAGCACCTCTGAACCAAGATTAATGTGATTTTCAAACAGACTTTTCCCTGTTATTCTCTCAATTACATTTTTAAAAGTCAACCTTTTTTGTCATGCCAACCTCCACTATGTTTTTTTCTTCTTACCTTTTCTCTCTCTTTTTGTTCAGCAAGTAGGTGTCCTAATACATGATGAACAATATCCTTTGTTGAATAGAATTATGCAGAGAGAAACATTATGCTTGAAGTGCCTTATGCATACCCTACAAGTTGCTTCCTGCAGTTTGGCAGTACCCAGAAAAGTCAAGCCCTGCTCAAGCTCTGCCCACTCATTTAACTTCAAAAGAGATGCTCTAAAATGCACAGGGGCTATTAGGGGTAGTGTACAATGTTAAATGTCTGTGGGGCTGTCCTGGATGCTAATAACAAAGTATGGGAATTACATTAGCAGTGACAGTGACAGTAACACTTTCACTCCCAATACCTCTTGGAAAGGACAAGTCATCATGTCTCTAAGTGGAAAAGAAAGGGTGGGGGGAGTGCTTACTCCCACACTTTACATTGCCATGACTACTGAAGAGCCATTTTCCTATCCCCCTGCTCTAGACCTACCAAAAATAGGGTTTGAGTTGAGTGTATAAAGAATGAAATGTATATCCAATTTAAAATCAAAGGCAATTCCCTATGTTTCATAAGTATGCATTGTTATAAGCTGTACGAACTGATTTGACTAGAGAGCCATCATCTGGAAATGAGTTTGTGACCACTGTTTGGCTTTGCTTTGTTACCCATATACCTAAACCATGAAGAAGCATCCCATTTTTTAGAAACTGTGCAATGATTTCAAGGCTGTTCTGTGACATGCAGGCAAAGCCAGACTGTTTCTCAACAATCCAGTCTTCTTATTATATGTTTTTGTTTGTTTGTTTTGAACCAATCAAAAGCAAACAGAAAGAATATAATTGCAAAATATCTGATATGTCTGTTGATGATGTCTCATTAACCTTGACAGTGAATGTAACTGGTGGCTGTCTGTCACAGTGGCATGGTAGTTTGTTAGAGAGGGAGAAAAAAACCAATGGAAACCTCTTGGTGGAGGGATTCAAGGAGAAACATAACTTGGTTCCTCTACAAAAAAAAAAAAAGATGAAGCATTTCCAACTGGCCAGATTTGCTACATTCTAGTTTCCTTAAGCTTGAGATAGCTCTACTCACACATTCTTGAGAAGATATTCATAACAGTATTTATGTATATCACAATATATGCTCTGAAGTATTGAGAAGAAGAAAGCCCACTTTGATGTTGAAAAACAACCTCAGAGAAAAAGCAAACATCTCAGCAATAACTGAATATGTGCGGTGATTCGTGTGTCATTAGAAATACCACAGGCCACTCGATGTGAGAATGTTCTAATTCCAGTCTGTCCCCAGCCAGAGTGCCCGCTTTACTAATTGCTGCTGGGTAGTGTGTCAACAAACAGAGAGGGAAATTATAGAGGAAAATGAGGTTGTCTCTAGGGACACATGGTTACCTGGAGAGGAAGAGACAGAGTAAAGATTTCCCCAGGCTCACTAGCAGACTCCCGTTGGCAGAAGGAGAAATCTAACCTTCCACTATTCCCAGAGACCCCACAGGAAACCAGCACTTTCCACCATTCTTCTGGCATCTCAGCTGGGACTGGTTCCTGTCTGCCCTCCCCAGAGCAGAAGCTGAAGTAAACAAACCTCACAGTCTCCACCTAGATTCAGATAGAACAGCCTCACTTTTATTTTATTTGAATTGGTTTTCACTCATGGTCTCTCCACTTTCCCATTTCTAGTCATCACTCCTCAGCTTTCCTTAGGAACTTCTTGAAAGTTATCACCATTAGCCTCACTTTTCACATCCAATTCCCACCTCAGACGGATGGCACAAGCAGTTTCTGTTCTGTGTTTCTGTGATGTTCTCAGGGCCACATCCTGGCTCCTCATCTCCGGCCTCTGGATCTGGCCCTCACCCACGCGTTCAAATAAACCCCAATAAAAGTGTATCAACCTGTTCTCTCTTTTCCCAAAGAAGTTGCATTTAAGTGTATTGAAAATACTATGAAAGATGAAATAACTGAATTGCGAGCACCGTTTTCCTTCTCTCAAACCCAGACATGGCTACCTTGCTCCGGGAGGAGTGGGCTGGCGGCTGCCAGGTCGTCATTAGGGACTGCACTTTTGGTTGAGTGTGGGTGGGTGTTATTTTCCTTACCATGCCAACTCACATTCCTCTGTTCCTTACTTTCAAGCTATAGTAACCTTTCCCAAAACACTTTGGCTGGAGGGACTAGAGGAAGGGAGGTGAAAAATGAGAATAGGGGAATGGTGTCTCTAAACCTCACCTTCCCCCTCCTACATAGTATTTTCTTCTCAAGTAGCGGGACTTTCTTGAATGTATTCTCTTGTTCCGCTTCTTCGCCCAGTTATCCCAAAGTCTCCCTGCCCCCAAGCCCATTGCGACCAAAACAAGCGCACTGACTAAAGCACTGTGGCCGCCGCCGCCCCAACTGTTGCAGCAGCTGCGGGGTGACAGCAGAGGCAGTAAGGGCAGGGCCCGGCTGGGACCCGGACCGGACGCTCCATGCCTTGGAGTCTGAGAGACTCCGGGCTGCTGCCTAAGGACGCACAGTCTAGGGGAGCCCCTGCGGCAACCACCGCTTGGGATAGCAGACGCTGTTTTCTCAGCCAGGACTCCGCGCGGAGCCAGCCCGGCAGCCGCCGCAGTCGCCCCGTCAGGGGCTGCCCGCACCCGCCCTGCTCTCACCTTTAAGATCAGGTCCGTGTGATGCTGGTCCAGCATGTTAGCTTTTTGGAAGGAGGTGACGATGACCCGGCCGTAGCGCCCAGGGGTCTGCAGGTCCGAGTAGAGCCGGTGCTTGGAGCGGTTGACCAGGAAGAGGCTGTTGACTAGGTTGCGCTCGATCTTGGCTAGGCTGTGCTGGGGCGCCAGCAGGTGCTCCACGCTCTCTTCGACCTGGTAGCGGCTAAAGCTGGCGCCGAGCAGGATGGAGATGAGCACGGGCGCCGAAGCGAAGAAGACCGGGTGACTGGCAATGAAGTGGCCAAGCCGGGAGAAACACGTCCTCAAGCCCCGGTGCAGAACCTGCCGCAGCATCCTAGAGCAGAGCGGGCGCGGGAGGAGGGCGAGGCGCACGCTCGGCGCGGGCTAGGGCGACGGCGGCGGCGGCGGCGGCGGCGGCGGCGGTGGTGGTGGTGGTGGCGCCCGCGGCGGCGGCGACGGCGGCGGAGACAAGACCCTGAGCTTTCCTGGAGCCGCGGCACCACCATGGGGGAGTCCCGCGCCGCGCCTCGGGAGGGTCCCCTGGGGCTGGAGACACGCCCTCCTGCCCGCAGCCGCGCCTGCCCGGAGAGCCCCCCAGCTTGGCGGTCTCTGCGCTGCTCCCACTCCGCCCTACCCTGGGCCCCCTCCCCACCCCGTGCCGCCTCCCTGCCCGGGGGGCGAAGCGAGCACTGCAGCGTCCGTGATCAGCGCGGGCGGGGCTGGGAGCGGCCCCCGCGGCATGTCATGACCCCACTCACCCGATCCCGGAAGCCAATGACGGGATGGCGCGGGGAGCGGCGGCAGTGGTGGCGCTAGCGCCTGGAGACTCTGTGCGCCAGCCTGGAACACGAGGACGGAGAATTCCAGGCTACACCCAGTCCCCTCCTCTCAGCGCGCTCCCCCTCCCCCGACTCGGCGGGCCAGGCGCACCCCCCCACCCCGGCCTCCTCCGGGGAGACTCAGAGATAAATAAAGAGATGGCCCGAATTTTTCAAACAAATAAAGTAAAAGAGTTCTCCCGTTAGGGGGTAGAATGGGTATGTCGGGCAGACCCGCTTCCAGCCAAGTCTCTCCAGGGAAGGAAAGAAGCTGGCTGAGGACTGAGTGCGCCCCAGCTCTTGCCAGGCTCAGGTGGTGGCTCGCACTGGCTGTTGCCGAGAGGGGGTGGGGAACCGAGACGCTCGAGCGTGGAAATCACGCCTCCTCCCAAGTAAGAGCCATTTAAGATCGACCCAACACTGCAGCTCCAGGGGCACCACAGGGGACCAGTGCGCGCCTGGAGCCAATCCATCCCCAAATGTGTCCGAGGACAATCTTTCTCCCGATCCCCAATTTGGGTCGTTCCAGAGTGGATTGAACAGGACAGTTCTGCTAAACATCCATCCACCACCCTTCCCACCCCGTTCCCCAATAAAAAAGTGCTGATAATGACACTCTGTCAGTCCATAGAGTCTGTCACCAGGCTTCCCTATCTCCATCCTGCCCCCCTTTTTTCTTCCTTCTCCTCCTTCTCTCTCTGTCGTCACTGGCAGGTCTGGGGGATCTGGTGCGGCAGAACTGGTGCGGGCGCCCCCCGAGGGTGTAGATTGTTTAGGAAAGGCTGGTCAGGAGTCAGTACTTAACCCCCTTCTCTCCCTCACTTCACCTGCTCCTCCTCCACAAGCCACAATGTAAGAGTAGGGGGACCCTTATCTCTGATCAGGAGATGTACTGGTCTCTGAGTATGTCGAGCTACAGGGGGCGCGGGGGAGCCCGAGGGGCTCTGAAGGCTTGGCAAAGTTGGGTTTGTGCGTGTGCGCGCCAGCCATGAGCTAGCTGGCAGCCACTGTGGTTCCCCTTGCACTTCCCCTCGGGAGATTTCCCCGAGAAGGCGGGCGCCGGCTTCGGCCTGGGATAGACCTGCAGCGGCGGCGGGAACGGCCACGCACAGGTACAATTTAGCGCGTTTTTTTTTTTAATTTTTATTTTTGCGCGCTCTGAGCCCCTGGGTCCGTCCATGCAGACCGAGTGAGATCCGAGGAGTCTGGGTTACTGATGCGCCCTGTCCCGCCAGCATTGGGTTGGTAACCAGAGCACAAAGAGGGGTCCTCAGGTTCACAGCTGCAACAGCTTGGTCTGCCCACCCCACAGCTCTGGACGGTCTGCTCGACCTCTAAGTGCCAAGGGTCGAATGGGAAGCATCGCTGGCCGCTGGCGGGAGGCGCGGTCCCTTGAGTGTGGCACATACTACTGAGCATGGACATGCATATTAATCAAAGCTGCCGGAAGAGAGAATAGTGGGGGAGGAGGAAGAGGAGGAGGGAGATTGGGTGGGAGAGAGGGAATGAGGGAGGGAGGAAGAGAGAGAGAGAGAGAGAGAGAGAGAGAGAGAGAGAGAGATTCAGATAAAGACAGGCAGACACACGAGTGAGCTTGGCAGGAGTGGGAGAACACGACTGGGAGAGGCATTTTCCTAATATTACCATCCTAGACTCCCCAACACCAAAAGGCTCTCTACTTCTCAAACTGAACTTGAAAACTTGCACTTTGGAGACAGGAAGTCCTGGACCTCGAATCCTTTTTTTTTTTTTTTTTAATTCCCGTTCATTTCCCTATACCACATCTATGTTCCTTCAACAATGCCTGCAACGCAGATCAGTCCACCTTGCGGGACACACTTGTCCAGTTCAGCATGAGCTTGCTTCCTAGGTCCTTCCACCTGTCTCTTGCTGTTTTTTCTTTGCCAGTCCCCGCTTTTGACATCCAGCTCTTTTCAAAGGCTCCTCCTGAGTCCCGCAGCTTCCAGCCCACATCCCCCGCACTCTATATTGCCCTTCTTAGGAAGGACGTATGGAGCAGGACTAGAAATTCCCCTGCTACATTCCGTTTGTGCCCTTCCCCCAGCATCTTAATTTCTGCTCCCTGAGATGCTGCTGTTCTGCAGCGCTTTGCTGATTCACGATGATCACGGAGGGAAAAGCCTCATTGACTTATGCCCCTGCAAGCGCTGAGGTAGCAGGAGTTGCAGCAAGGGCACAGCATTTGGGGACCCCCACCCCCACATACCCGCTGAGAAGTCCGGGTGCTAAAGGGCAGTGTGGCTGCCCTGAGTACTCAGTCCAGCAAATAAAAAGAGAGAAGGGCGCAGGTGGGGGTGGCGGCGGGAAATGCTGAGAACCCAACTCATTGCCACTAAACTAGTCGCAAGTGGTGGGTGGGCACCTGTCAGGAGCCCTAACATCTGTCTCTGTTTCACAAATCCTGGTGCCAGCGCTGGGACAAAAGTAAGACAACAGAAATCAACACACAGATCTACTTGGGAACCTTTAACATTTGGGCAAAGCTCTTCTCATTCTGAAATCTTTTTCTGTCCAAATAGTTCCCTCCACAAGCTTGCTTAGCTTTCATCCCTAGAATTCCTTGCTATTTTATGTCAGCCTTTATGCAGACTAAAGATCCGGCACTCTCTGCAGTTCCATGACAGAACCTTAGAGCAGGAGACACTGCATTGCCCAGCTGTCCTGGGTGGAAGGGTTGCCCTCCTACACTGATCAGTTTCTTTGAGACCAAGCCATTTTCTTCCCATTCTTCCAACTCTATCCTTGTGCATTACTGGTGGGACTTCTTCCTTTCCCACTTTGATGCAGTTAAAACCTCCTGATAGCGAATCTTCAGCAATCCTTCATTATTTGCAACACAGTTACTACTGCCAAAATCAAGCTTAAAAAGATGTAAGAGGAAAACAGGAAAGGAGAGAGACAGGAGAGAGAAAAGTGTGTGTGTGTTGTACCTTTTTTCTTCTCCTTTTAGACTTCTTGGGAAGCACTACCACTTCCGAATACTTTGGTTTGTATTTGAAGCAGTAACACTGAGAACAGAGCTTCTGCCAGTCCATTAATAGATGATTTATTTATCTGATTAAATATTAATGCATATTAATAGTGTAAAATTCAGAAAATAAGGAAAGAAGGGAAGACACCTGTATCCCTTTATGCCCATCACCTTTTAATGGTAACCTCTGTTAAAATTACTTACACATGTTAAACACCATAGTGAATTAAGGCTGTAACATTTCTAACTATGGAGCTGAATGCTGCTCCACTACTTACTACCTACCGTTTATCAAGTGAATAAATTTACCCTTTTATTTCAGTTCTGTTTTTTTCTGGGAAATGGGAATAATAATAATATGTACTCTATGGAGTTCCTGTGATGATTTAAATAGTGTGGAAGGATATAAAACACTTAAAATAGTACTTAGAATCTCACAAACACCCAACAAAATGCTAATAATTATAATTATAGTCTTTTTGTGTGAGAGTGAATAGAAAATCAGTCTCTGACATTCAGGAGCTGTCCTGGTGTTGTCAGCTGGCCTTGGTGTTGCTAAGAGCTGGCCTGGTGCTACCATTTAAGCTTTGGTGTTCTCTTTGTGAACATAAACCATTTTCCAAAACACTAAATAAGAGCATTGTGCAACTGTAATGGATTAAAACGAAATGAGGAATCATGTCTGAACACAAGCCAAAACATGAATCTTGTCCAACTCAAAATAAGTGGCCAACAGGTCATTAGTATAACTAATCAAATTGACTATTGTGATCTTTCCAAAAAACAAACGACCACAACCCCCAAAAAAGTTTGTTTTCTAAACCCCGCTCTCTTCAGATAAAGACTTGTTTTGTTTTTTTTTTTTTGGTTTTTTTCTGTTTTTTTTTTTTTTTTTTTTCTTTTTAAGTCAGGGTTTCTCTGTAACAATCCTGGCTCTCCTGGAATTCACTTTGTAGACCAGGCTGGCCTGGCCTGAAACTCACTGAGATCCACCTGCCTTTGCCTCTCCCAACTGCTGAGATTAAAGGTGTACACCACCACCTGCCCATATAAAGACTTAAAAGACACCCATTCATAAAACTATCCCTGCTTGCTGACTGACTTACTTGAGAATACAAATCCATTTTATATGTAAAAGTCTTTTATTAAAATGTCCCTTAGAACTCCATGATGATATGTAACTTGTTATTTGGCACTGAAATATATGCATATTGTTTATATGTTCCTTTTCAAAAATAAAGGATAGCAAGTATGAGTCCCAGTTTTCATTAAAATCATGAATATTTTTTCATGTCAATTAATATTACTAAAGAAGATCTTAATAGATCTATAAGATGTCTTTATGTGACTAAACTTTTAGCAAATTATTTTAAAACAGTTCTGGTATTATAAATAACACTGAATTTGATCTGAAGATTATGTACCTAATCTACACTCTCTCACTGCAACTTATTTGGTTTTAGGATCAAATCTTCCTTATTTATTTATTTATTTATTTAGGCGGGATGTCACTGTGTAGTTCTGGCTCTCCTGGAGTTCACTCTGTAGACCAGACTGGCATTGAACTCACAGAAATCCTCCTGACTCTG